TGCCAAGTCACCAAGTGTGGCTGGAGGAAGTGATACATAATGCTGGCAAGTCCTAGAAAGGCAGTCTTTTGTTTTTCCTTTGAGAAGATAGAAGGCAAGCGAAGCCTCTGCCTCATTGGCTCTGCTATCTTTACTGTTGACTCTCCAACCACAAAAGCAACTTGCCACCAATGCAGTGTGACAAGAGCCCCAGAGGCAAGTGCCAGGGCTGGCAGGCAGTGAGGGGCCCTCTGAGGCCCTGCCCACCTGTTCATGTCATGGCTCCTACCTGGGCTAAAAGGGCCCTGTGAGCCAGAGGACAGAGGCAGGATGGGGCTTTGGGCCACCAGGAAGGGAGTAAGAGTGGCCAATGTGAGGCAAGAGGTCTCAGGGACCCAGGCCAGTGCCAAGGACACGTGGGGAAGAAGAGAGCCAAGAGTAAAGCTCCAGGCCCCAGTGCTGGTGCTGAAGGAGCTAGAGCCCACCTCCCCAGGTTCTGTTACAGCCCCAGACTAGGACGCACCTTCATGACAGGTTGGGCAAAGTACCGAGCACTCCAGTCACAGAACCCCGTCTGCATTGTGGCACAGATGAAACTTTTGTGGCCAGCAGCTTCGTCCGCATCATCTGTGGTCTGTGGGGGGTTGGGAAAGGAGGGTTAGGACTTCAGTCTTATTGTTCTCTACACTTTTTTTTGAGACAGGGTCTTACTATGTAGCGCAGGCTACATCAAACATGTTGTCTGTGATTATAGAAGTGCACCACAATATCCAAAGCTCCTATGCTTAACACTTGAAAGAGTTCCTAACTGGGGACAAAGGTCGCAGTGAACAGTGCTCTGACTTCTAAAGACAACTATTCTGTGCTCTCTTCCCTCAAGCATCCTGATGATCAAGAAGTCAAGCTTAGTTGTTTAATAGCTCCAATCGTAACTCACCAAACAATTTATAACTTTTTAACCTCTGGCCTCTGCTAGACATTTAATTGGGTCTCATTTGTCACTATTATAAATAATACAGACAGCCTCTGTATCTGATTTTTTTTTAGGATGGAGTATTAGAAGAACAATAACTAGATCAAAGAGAATGTCTGTCTAAGGCTTGATACTTACTGCCATACTGCTTTCTAGAAAAGTTAGGCCCAGCCTCTGGACAGGGCTGGGGTGGGGAGGACAGTGGCCGCTGGGTTAAGAAGCATGACTGAGGGCTGGGGATGTGAGCCAAGAGCGTAGCCTCATGCAGGTCAGTTGTGACTTTAACCACTTTGACTCAGGAGTGCCAAGAGGACCACACTTTGGCTGTTTCCCACCATGGGATACAGGACTCCCTGCATTTGTCTCATTCCACATGGGCTGGCTTGGGCAGTTTCTTCTGCTATGCCATATGCTTGGGGGTGAGGCTCAAGAAATCCCTCAAGCTTCATCCTGGCAGAGAGGGGCCCCCATCAGCCATGGGATGATGTGGGTGGTGGGTTCATCTTCTGCTTGGAAGCGGCAGCTTTGGCTCCATCCTGTAAGCCCTGGCAGGGGGAGGGTATAAGGTGAGGCAGCCATCTGTTGGCTCTACCATATGCCTGCCCACACCACGTCAGAGCCCTGCCACGACAGTGACTGCACTTGGAGCTCATTGCTGTTCGAGGCACTGAAGTTAGATGGGCTTGGGGCCAACTGTTGTGTGTGGAGCACTGCTCAGCTGCTTCCATATGTGTCCTGCTAGTCAGCCACATGGGGAATCTCACTCCAGAGCCAACCCGCAAGATGGCTGCAACTCCTTTTTCCTTCACTGGGTGACAGAGTGAGCCATGATGCCCCTCCGCTATTGAGAGACATTAACTAATGTAAGACAGCCAGACAAGGTCCTGGACAACCTTCTTTAGACTGTGTGTACTTGACCAAGAAAGAAGCAACTGCTGGACAGGACAGCAGAGGGCCCCACGTCAGGCACATCTCATGTGACTTGCAGAACCCTGAAGCAAAGGTGCAGACTCCTGTTCTCTGAAAATTTCCTTTTCAACTTAACAGCAAAGCGTGTGTGCTATTTGTGTGGAGTAATTGAATGTTTAGAGAAAAAACAAACAACTCATTCAGAGTAAACACCGTAGAACTGCTGCCACCTAGAGCAGAGGCAAAATGCTATTTACCCAAGAAGGGAAGAAAGCAAATTAACTCTCTGCGTGCATATTTTGTTTTGTGGAGTTGCCAAGAGTAGCAGACCAGAAGGCATCCTGGATGCTGGGAAGACCAGGCCCTGCAGATAGGTGCTAAGCCAGGGTGTCACTGGGTGAACAAGGGCACCAGGTCACAGGGCCATAATGACCCAAATTTGGGGTCCTCAGCAGACCCCTCAGCGCCTGGTCTTGACACCTAGTGTTGATGGTTCCAGAGGCACTGTGACACTGTTGTCTCTACCTGATCTGGGCCCTTGTCAAACATCTTCCGCGTCCGGGGGAATTGGTGGGAGTGAGGGGTGTACTGCGCCCCCGTGGTGCCCGTGGGGCCTGGGCGGGCGGAAGGCAGGTCGCGGCTGACTGGTTGCTTGGCCACATCATTGGTTAGGCTGCAGCTGCTGGTGCTGGATGCCGGTGGGGAGCCTCTGCCATCAGGAGAAGAGCAGATAGCACGAGTTACTGAGGATCTGCCACAGGTTGCTGGGACCCACGCCTCCTCCCAGCCAGATGCTGCAAATGGACCCAGGGACATCCTCAGTTGCCTGACATGTCATCATGGCTTTCCAGTGCCAGCTGCTGATGCTGAGTGAGGACTATCCTTGCTGGATGTCTGCTGGCAGGCACTAAGACCCTAATGAGCGAGAGGCAATGAGGACGGAATAACTGAATCCTGAGCAGTGTGCTGGGGAGAGCACATGGTCCGTGTTCAGCTCACATTCAGGACCAGCTGCACTACTTCCTGAGTGGTCAAAACTGGTGGGACAGTTCAGAGTCTAGCCTGTCAGGAACCCATGTGGAGAACCTAGGTCCTCTGAAGAAAATCCCAAAGGCTACAAAAATCAGGCTTAGTTCAACACTATGTGCTAATGAAGAGCTCCTGAGACAGGACAGAATTCTAGGAGGGGGCCCAGATTAGACAGGAATGGGTGTGTGTGTGTGTGTGTGTGTGTGTGAGAGAGAAAGAGAGAGAGAGAGAGAGAGAGAGAAGGGTAGGGGGGAAGGGAGAGAGAGATATAGATATATAGAGAGAGCTAGAGTGAGAGAGAGAGAGAGAGAGCTAGAGAGAGAAACAGAGAGAGAGAGCTAGAGAGAAAGAGAGCGCTAGAGCGAGAGAGAGAGAGAGAGAGAGAGAGAGAGAGAGACAGAGAGAGCGTTAGAGCAAGAGAGAGAGCGAGACAGCTAGAGCTAGAGAGAGAGAGAGCGCTAGAGAGAGAGAGAGAGCTGGGTCTCTGGTCCTCCATGACAGGTGGAAAAGCTCACTTCAGGCCACTTACCCCACCTGGTGGATGTGCATGCCCTTGTTGGTCGGGCTGGCTGGGGCTGACTGGGTGAGAGAGGAGGTGTCAAGGATTCGCTGAGGTCGGGCATTCACTGTGGCCTAAAAAAGCAAAGGACAAGCGAGGTGGAGATCAAAAGGTGGTAACCTCCTCTGAGGCATGAGGCAGAAACACAAGGCTGTGGTTGCTTTTGTGTAGCTTCAAAATGGTGGAAAAAGACTTTTGTCTAAGGAGCTCTCAAACACCAGTGGAAGACCCCAGGTGAGCGAGTCCCACAAAAGCAGCCCTGGGGATAAAGTGATGCTCACATTTTGAAATCACTCCCTGGGTCCTGGGAGGCCCAGGGCTGGGGAGCAATCTCTGTCTGGGGTTCTTGAGGAGCCTGAGTGTGAGATGCTCTCAGAACAGCACAAGGCCAAGCTCCGGGCCAGTTCCCACTGTTCCTCCCCACTTTGCCCCCACCAGTCCTGGCTTCTGGTAGGATCTTCTCTAACACTTCACTTTTCACTTGAGAGCTGTGAGGCAGCTGGAAAGAACCCTCACCACCCTTTCAGGAGCAGGGAGGCAGCTGGAGGCTCCACAGAGCACTGAGGGACAGATAGCACTTAATCAGTTGATATCTGCTCAGGTGGTCTCTGAGGTGGTGACTCATCAAAGTACCCACGGCTCTGCAGTCACTGTGCAATTATGTATACTGTGTTTCCCAAAGGGGTCCATGAAAACCACAGAGGCTGAGGACAGATCAAGTGTGCAGGAGTCATCTACTCTCCAAAGGCTAAGAGGCACTGCTGCTCTGGGGTGTGACCTGGGCTCTTGGGGCTGGGGTAGAGCATGAACTTGGTCTGTGCAAAGCCCCGGGTTCTATCCTAGCACCGTACAAAAAGAACATCTCCATCACACAGTCATCTCCCTCCACCCCCATGTTCCAGCACAGGTGATGCTGGCTGTGCAGAGTACACAGGGAACGACTGTCTCCAGGCAGGGAATAACTTGGGAAAAGAGCAGGCAGGCAGAGCGAGAGTGAGCTAGCCTGGCTTGCGAAGGGCAGCTCACACTGCACTCACGGTGCTCCAGGTGAGCACATCACCTGGCCTCTGTTTATTTTCCATGTCTCATCGGGCAGGTGCAAAACAGCTCCTACACCACGGCATTGTGGATGAATGGAAGGTCAAAGGTCTTATGAACGTCCTCCAACAAACACTGCTGGGCTTGAAATTTTACATGGAGAGCTTTGCACCAGCCTGGGATGTGATACTCTGGAGGGCAGGAGTTTTGCTCAGAGTTTTACCAGGATTTTGTGTAGATGTGGAAACCAGCCATCTGCTGGGGAAATGAGCAATGAGGAAGCCATAGCAAATAGGAGTGTTAACTGCTTGTCTGTCGGTTATGCTCGTGTGCCAGTGTGGCAATACGTGGTATGGCTGGCAGAACCCACTGGGTTCTGCACTCCAGAGCTGTGTAGATTCAGAAAGGGCCTAGCAATGTTGAGGCCCCTATATCAGGACAGAACAAGTGGCTCTTTAGGTGGCCACTGACCCCACTGCCAAGGATGTGCCCTGAGAGCCAGCAGGGCCAGGTTGCCTTCTGAAAGCTCAGGGAAGCATGTGAACCAAATAGAATCACCACCTGGGAGGGCTCTGTTCTAGTGGGCCCTTCTCTGGCCTCAGGTTTCTAAATTATTCACTTCACTGCCAAAAAAAAAAATCAAAGAAACAACCACAGAAGTCTTCATTTATATAGACAGCATCAACATTTCCCATAGTCCTTGGCTTCAAAATGGAGATAGCAAGAAAACAGAGCAATAAGCAGTCTTTAAACAGTGTTTCATATATATATATATGTATATATGTGTATACATATACACATATACACACACACACACATATACATATATTTGTTGGCGGTACTTGGGTTTGAACTCAGGGCCTCACACTTGCTAGGCAGATGCTCTATCACTTGAGCCATACTTCCAGTCCTTTTTGCTTTTCAGATAGGGTCATGTACTATTGCCTAGTGCTGACCTTGGATTCAATCCTCCTACCTACGCTTACTGCATAGCTGGAATTATAAGCATGCATCACCATACCCAGTTGTTTCTGGGTATTTTATTATAAGAGTAACACATGTTCTTGGGAACTTGTTTTAGCTTTAGTATTTATTCAGTCAATTCTATAGGCACACACACTCTGCAAAATCTGACAGCCGTATGATTCCTTAAGTTTAAAAGAAAAAAGAAATTTATACCTACACTGTAAGTTTAACATGCATTTTCTCAAAATTTCTAGAGAGAAAGTGGGCAGTACCAGGGAAGACAGAAAGCTTTAGGGACTAGAGTGGGGATTTCCACTGAACCCACAGCCTCTCTTGTGCTCAGCACTGCTGGGTTACAGGGGTGACTCGGAAGCCTGGTCTCGTAGTCCTGGGTGTTCCTCCGTGCTTACCCGTGTTTGGTTCCTTCTGGAGGCTCCTCCAGGAAAGCTGCATAGGCCACAGTGCCAACAGCTGCCCAACTGAGCAGTGTAGCCACACTCAGTGTAGGCACAAGATGTTCATCTTGTATCACTTTCAAAACCTGCAAGAGGTGGCACTACGGGGCTGGGGACATTTTCATGATAAGTGCTAGTGACCACAGGATGACCAAAGTAACTTGGGGGTAAGCACAGTGTGGAATTTGCTGTGGCTTGATTTGAGGAGAGACATGTGCAAAGCTCTGCTGGACAGGTAGTTCTCTGCAAACTGTATTTCCTAAGTAAAGGTTTTGGAAGTTATAGGTATTATTCAGTTAAAACAATGGTAACAAATGAAGCCTTGGGACATCTCATTTAGCACATGGGGCTCTCACTTGGGAGCGTGCTTGAAGAGAACCCTGGATCGCTGAACACTGCCTCCTCCTGGGCTGGCCCTATCAAGGATGATGAAGATGATAACCCTATGCTAGCAAAAGCAGCTCATCATAGAGCCTCCTCCCCAGAGGCTTGGCATGGTGATAAGGGCTTCACAGGCTGGAGTGAGACATTTGATCCTCACGACCCAACCTGAGAAGGCGGTTACTTCAGTGATCTTGGTCTCACACATGAAAGTTGGGAATGTGAAGGGGCTGGCCAGCAGTCAGTGAGCCAGCAGATGCCTGTCCAGGCAGAGCTGTCCCCAGCCTGGGCTGTGCAGCTTGCTGGGAGCCAGGGCTCCAGGAGTCACTCCTCCAGGCTGGTCACCTGTACCTCTTCTGCTCCTATGCAGCAGCCACACACAAACTCCCGGAGAACAGGCTCCAGCTGCCACCCTAGAGCCACGGAGTGGATCTCTGGGAGTGGCCTGGGCACCTCAGCCAGGATCATCTCTCCAGGGAAGGTTTCTGCACGGGAATTCCACACAATAGCACAATAAAAAACAAACAAAACAAAAATGTGATGGTTCATCTTGATCATCAACTTGACTGAACTGAGAAACCTAGGAGGTTAGGAAAGCACACCTGTGGGTTTCCAGAGCAGATCAGCTAAGAGGGGATATCTGGCCTGAGTGTGGATGGAGCCACATGACAGGATGGGGGTCTGGATGGAAGAAAAGGGGAAGGAGGAGGAAACCCACCATATATCTTTCATCCTTTTAAGTTTTATGTCAGGCATTTTGTCATGATGGAGCAAGCTGCCTAACATAGTAAGGAAGCCGTGTTCTAATAGTGTGAGGCTGAATATTAAGTATTAATGACAGGGTTTTTTTTCTTTCTTTTTTTTTTTTTTGTGCGTGTCTGGTGCTGGAGTTTGAACTCAGGGCTTCACGCTTGCTAGGCAGGTGCTCTACTGCTTGAGCCACTCCACCAGCCCTTTTTGTGTTGGATATTTTCGAGATAGGGTCTCATGAACTATTTGCTCAAGCTGGCTTCAAAGTGAGGTCCTCCTGATCGCTGCCTCCCAAGAAGCTAGGATTACGGGTGTGAACCACTGGCACCCATCTTATTTTTTTGTTTTGTTTTTTTGAGGCAGGGTCTCACTATGTAGCCTAGGCTATCCTCAAGCTCATAACCTTCTTGCCTCAGCATCCTGAGGGCTGGGATGACAGGTGTGTTTAATGACAGGCTTAACCGAACTTCTGAATATGCTCTTCTGAGAATCTCAACCTTTACTTCATTGGTTACTCAGAGCTTTGGTCTCGATGTTACGCTTCACCTCTGGTTAAGAACTCAACATGTGGGGTGGTCTGTCCAAATCCCACAGCAGAGACAGCTCCTGTTGGAATCCGGAGGCTTTTGCACGATGTTCAGGTGAGTTTACATGTCTATGCTTTTGGATTTTTCTCATAACTACAAAATGAGAAGTGGCTGTGAACTTGTGAGACCTGATACCTGAACGCCTGTGCTTGGGTTTCCTTTTGTGTCCTCCTCAAACCTTGGGGAAGAAGAAGAGGTCAGGAGACAAGAGCTGTTGGGGCCTCAAACAGCTCCTTTAGGTTATTATTTTCCTGTTTCTACCTCTGTGTGTTTTGAGATTTCCCATAATAAAAACTAAAAGCAAAACACAAGCCATAGGCCCATGGAACAAGCATTTATAAACATGAAATTAGGCCATCTATCGAACTGTATGGATTCTTTCACACATAGCTGGTAGCAATTCTTGAATTTCTATGGGGCATCTCACAGTAATGAGGCTCCTTTGACTTTAATGAACAAAAATTTGGCTTCAGAGTTAAGTAATGTAAAACAGACTCACTTCTTTGTAAAATGAAGTGTAATCCCTTCAGTTCCTATAGCAGAAAGTAAGGCATGATTTGAAATTAAAATAAGGATAAGAAAGGGTTTCTTTAATGTTTTTGCTCCCAAATCCTTCAGGAGCAGCAATTACTCTTAAAGACAAACACACACAGGCACACACAACACACATAACACACATACAATACACAGGCATTGCTGTGCTGTGGCAAGGTCTCCACTCTGGTCTTCTTCACTCTGGCTATTGTGTACTTTTAGCTGGTGGCATGTGCATTTTGGGGTGTGTGTCATTCTAGACCAGCAGAGCTGGCACAGAGGCCAAACGCCACTCTGCTGGGCATCTGGGGCTAAGTCATGCACCATTCTAGTGGGACATTAGGCTATTTTATCAGGTGGTTGCAACTTGCTAATATACCAGATGACACACAGAGGTCTAGTTATCTTAAAGTGGGTAGGAGCACAATCTCAGAGGACCCAGGCCTGGGAAACTATGGCTGGCATCTCTATTGTAGAGCAGGGAGAAATGGTTTCTCTGCTTCATGGACCAGAGGCTCCTAAGAGGAACTACCTAACACCTGAGGTCACGCTGACAGCAGTGAACTCATAGTCGTGAAATTCAGTATTAGACATGGGGATCACAGTGTTAATTAATTCAGGTGGAGTACGGGTAAGGGTAAGTACATAAAACCCACTGAAAGTAGACTTAAATAGGATGACTCCTGCTTTTCAATGAATAAAATACTCAAGAAGCAAAATTAAATGGGGGAAAATGATCACAGTGAGGGTCCCTAACTGTGTTTCCAGGCTGATGAGAGGGTGGGCTGTGGCCAGGAGGCTATCCTGTGTCTCCAAGAGCAAAGAAGAGGCCATCAAACACCTCTGTGTGCCAGAGACACAAGGGAAACAAGGGAAGTAAACTGGCCAGTCTCTGCTTTCTTTGAACATAAATTCAAATTCAAAGAAATCGAATTTGTATTAGTGAATGTCCATACAAAGCTTTGGAAACAATTCTTTAAAACCCAAATTTGAGCCAGGTGGGGCGGTGCACACCTATAATCCCAACTGCTAGGGAGGCAGAGGCAGAAAGATCATGAGTTCTAGTCCAGGAAAAGTTAGAAAGACCTTGTCATAGGGGCATGCCTCAAGTGGTAAAGCACTTGCCTGGCATGTGAGAAGCTTTGGGTTCAATCCCTAGTACCACAAAACAAACAAACAACAATAACAACAAAAACTCCAAAATAAATACTACCCCAATCTCAAAAAAAAAAAAAAAGTTTAAGAAATTTTGCACAAGAAGTATGAGAGGCTAGAGTCTAAAGGAGCAGCGGTAATAGGTCAGCACAGACCTCCCTAACATGCCACAGGTGGGAGTGACTGAGTCAACCTTCAGCTCCAACCTTCTGAGCATTGGCTCATATGGGCTTAGGGCCTGTCACTGCTTGGGGGCCACACAGGTAGTTTGCTGGGCACTTATGCAACCCTCCAGGTCTTCCTCCAGGCTCTTCACCTTTCTTTTCCTGCTGACTTCCTGCCTATCCACTTTCTTCTCTCCTTCCCTTCCTCCCTCCCTCAGCCTTAAACCATAATATATAACAAACATGTATTTAAAAATAGTTTTCTATTTGGATTGATCCCATTCAACTATTCTTAGTTGAAAAGAGCAGATGACTGGATCACTTACTAGTTTTCTATTAAATAATGAAAACATTAACGTGACTGATTCCATTTTGCATAGGCCAGGGACACAGAACAGTCGCTCAGGTGCTGCTGCAGGTAGCCACACACAATGACGAAGGAAGCAAGCCGAGCCGCACAGTCTCTGAGTGGATAGAACAATCCAGGTTGCACCAAGTGGGCATTAAGATAATGCTGGAAGTTCTGCAGGGCAGGAACACAGGGAAGTATCCCTGGACGCCAAGTCCAAGCTTCCAGTGGGCCATACATGTGACCGTACCTCTTGAGTTTAAAGCCCAGAATTTACTTTTGCATTATTCTTATTGCTATAAAGGGAAAGATGAGATTGACCACTTCAGCATTTTAAAACTGGGGACTCAGTGAGGCTCTGTTACTATCTCTGAGACACTACCAGGGGTCGAAGAAGTAGCAACCACAGCACTGAAGCGATTTCAGCCAGTCAGGGAAAAGATGTAAATAGATCAGCAGAACACAACCCCAGTGAAAGGGTTTGCAACCATGCAAACAGGTTGTCATGGGGGTTGGGGTGGGGGTGAGGGTAGGCTGCAGGGACTTCTGGCTCCATATTTACTGGAAGAAAACAATGGACTGAGGCTGAAGGTCACAGGACCCAGACCCTGTTGAACCTAGTAAATGGGTGACACCTGAGGACAACTCCCTAGTGTGATGGAATCACATGAGGGTGGAGAGAACTACAGGCAAACTAAGCTAGCTTTCCCTATACTCTTCTTGCAACTTTTCTCGAATCTTGAAATATTATCAAAAAGTTACAATTCCTTTTAATGCTCTAATGAATGACTTTTAGTTCCATTCATAAAAGCTGAACTGCCAGGTAAATTGCCCAACTTTGAAAACAACTAGAACACCAGAAAGAAAAACAAAATAAAACATGAAACAAATGTTTTCAGACACTGGATGCTGGGTACCCACAGGTCTGTGATTCCTGAGAGACAGAAAACAAATAACTGTTCCATCTTATGACTTGCCAAGTGGCCTCCAGCCAGTCTAGTCCCAGGCTACAGCATGGCAAAGGGGACACAGAGCTGACCTCTAGAGAGGTGGGGGATCTGGGATTTGTAGGCTGCAGTACTATGGTACTACAGGCTGTAGTACTGGGGAGGACAGCCTCAAGATCTGCCAGGGAGATCCTGGAGTCTTTGATATTCTTCCGCTCATGGGTCAGGAAAACTCATGAAACTAAGAGAAGAACAGCCAAGTTTCCAGAGCTTAAACAAAGGACTGGGAAGAGTCCCCAAAGAAGAAAGGACTAAAATCAATGACTTACACATTAAGAAATCAGAATAAGAGCAAATGAAATCCAAAGTAAGCAGAAGGAAGTGAAAAAATAAATGCAGCTATCAATAAAATGGGGAAAAGAAACAAACAAACAAACCAAACCAACCAACCAAATAAAAAAACCCAGAAGTTGGTTATCTGAAGTCTCCTCTAGCCAGAATGGCCATGAACCAGGAGTTGTCAATATGGCTGTAAAAATAACAGCCCTTACACTTTACAATGGAAGCCACATAATAATATGGTTCGGGGTATATTATGAACCTCCACATTGAAAATATTTGTTGAAAGCTCAGTTTATTTATGTGTTTTAAAAACAACAGTGTACGCATTAATGTGCCTAGAGATCCTTGTTTGAATATTCACGACTGAGAATCAGAAATTTGAGAGCTTCAAAGAAAACCTGCGATCACGCGTACCTTGTAGGCGATGCTGTTGAGTACTTTCATGGCCAAATCGGAAACGTCTGGATAGGGATCAGCAGCCAGATGCAATAAGACTCTCCAAATTTGAGTGTAAACACTATTAAAAGAAACCCCTAGAAAAGAGAGACAGGAGATGTTTTAGTAGCAAGTAGCTGGCTCTCCATGCACTGGCAGCTTCTGAGGTGGCTCCATTTTCTGAAAACCTAACCACAGTATCAGAAGGGCACTTCTACAAATCTGGGGCTACAGGAAGCTCCCCAGTTTGCTACTCCAGTAATCCCACTGGTAAATAGGCTTGTTTACATGGACTCATCTTTCGAGGCCAGATCTTTCTAAAAAGAAAACTGGGCTAGAAAGGGCAGGATTTGCAGTTGGGATGCCTTAGCAGCTAAGAGAGCACCACCAGTCCCACAGCGAGAGCAACATATGATCTCACTCATGTTCCAGATTCTAGGAAGAGCCGGGTATGGTGGTGCACACACCTGTAATACCAGCAATCAGGAGGCTGAGGCAGGAGAATCGTTAAGTTTGAGGCCAGCCTGGGTGGGCTACATAGTGAGACCCTGTTTCAAACAACAACAGCAACAGCAACATAGGTTCCTAGGAGCCACCACTGCCCACTGCATGTGCAGTATGTGTGGTGCAAGTCTCTGTCCACTCCACCTTAGTAGGTGCCCTGTGCAGTGTGACTTGCTGGACTCCTCTGGTCCACCACACAAGCCAGCACTGTTCTGGGTTCCTAGGAAATTACAAGAAGTGTATGTGACAAGATCTGCCCACAAGGATCTCCCAACTTATCCAACAAGCACTCAATGCAAGGTCTGATGCAAAGACAGGCAAGACAGCACCACCAGGGACACAGATGCATCAGTGCACGACAGCAGCAGACTGCAGGAAAATAAAAGGCTCACTTGCTGAGGGCCTTCGTGAAGACTGCTCAATCCTATTTAAATTCTCAGCAATCTTAAGGCAGGAATTGCTCTGAGGAGGCTAAGGCCCAAAGTGAAAGATGTGAACTCGCCTGTCTGACCTTCAAGCCAAGCTGATTCCAGGACGTGGTCTTCCCTAGGGCAAGAAGAGGTAGAGAGAAGAAGATCTTCTTAAAGAAGATCTAAGAGGTGACGGAAACCCAGAGCCTTTGGGGAAGCATGTCTGAGACCTGAGAGTCAATGAGAGTGTTAGGGATGGTGTACTCAGACACACAACAGGGAGCGGGAGGTGGAGCAGCAGGGAGAGGGGAGCTGCACATTGTGGGAGGCTGTTGGAGCAGGGGCAGCAGAGCCTGGGGCTACATCTTGCTGAACAGGAGAGGCAAAGGAGGGACTAAGGTGACTTAAGAAGAGAGCAAAGGCTGCTCAGAGGATGAAAGGGGCTGAGTGAGGAAGAATATAGCCAGTAGCCGGCAGAGTCTTTGCTGTGAGAGGAGGAGACTGTGAGTGTCCGCTTCATGCTGGGGAGGAAGAGATGGCTTGCTCCTAGGCATCTGGGGTCAAGTGGGGTAACAGTCACACAGAACTCCATCCTTGTTATTTCAGAGTTTCAATGAGAACCTCCTCTTTTGTTCAACAAGAACAACAAAAAGAGATTCGTGGAGTTCAAATAAGCCATAACCCTGTGTCCCTTGCTGGGCTGGCTCTAGTAAGCACCCAGTGTTTATGGAGTTGGTATGACATGCTGTCAGAAGGCACAGTGCTGTACAGTGGGCACAGTGTTAGTGGGATGCGCTTCACGTGACTCCCTCAGATCCAGAACAGACTGAGGAAGGTTGCGAGTGAGGTCAACATGGATGTGTATCACTATCCATCACTCCTCTGACCCCCAACCTCTCATTTCCAGATGCAGGGTGGATTCCATTTCACCTCAATTAGTCCTGAGCTGTGTGTGCTCATGCTGGATCTGTGACAGCCTGCTGTACACACACCCTTACCTGCCATGAGGGTGTAGGCATCAAGAGGACCATGCTCTTGGTTCCCAGGTACATGCGTCCCTCCCGAGGTAAAAGGAAGGAAATAAATCCCGAGTGTTTACAGAAGTCCCTGGTGACTCCATCATCCTGCATGTGGGATCCAGAGCTCTAATGACGTCTACAAGATGCTCATCCCTGTGGCTTCTCCAGAGATGCAGCTGCCTACATCGCTACCCATGTCAAGGGGCAGAGTTCTAAGAGGCATTTCTCTGATGGTGACAGCTCACCAGGCAGTGACTGAATGTCCTATAAACAGCAACCCTGCTTCTATGTGTATGCTCAGAAATTTCAAGGGCCTTGTGTGTGCTGGCCCTGCTCAGATAGCCAGGTGCCCATGAGAGGAGGCAGGAGGGCCTGTATGTCAGGAGACCTAGGACCATGGTAAGCCTGGATGGACTTCAGTTAAATGAGATGCCAGCAGACCTCTCCAGCTTGGTCTGGCTAGCAGTATGACAACCTTAATGATGCTGTGGCCCATCTACCCCACTTAGCTACAGAATAGAAACCTTCCAACTCAAACTCCACAGCAACAAATGGCTGTCTGGATTTACGAGCAAATTTTGAGGAAACTGGTAAAATCAGCCCAGATCTCTGTGGGGAAATTTCCATTCTTGTTCTAGCTGACCTGTCCACATGCACTGTGCTTTATGCTATGGGGGCCCACTGGGGAGGGGCTGCATCTTCACATCTCTTCAAGAGATGGAGGGCAGGCATGAGGAAGCAGCTTCAAATTCACTTGAGACAGGCCTCTAATTTATGACGTACAAGGAGAGAAAAGGACTGTACGTTCTATACACAGCCTCACTTGGAAAGAAATGGAGAACCAGCCCCTGGGATGGAGCTGGCGACCTCCCTCTACCACCTGATAAGAAGCGCTCACAATGACGCCTCAAACTCATCACGAAGCTTGCTCTAGGCCCCTTTGCCTGTTATTTTCAGGCTCACAAGCATCCTCTGGGCAAGTGATGCATCAGAAGCACTTGCCGTGTGACACTGAGCTGGAAAAGGATCATGATGCTGACGGTAAACCCAGCTTGCCTCAGACGACAGACCCTCATCACTGAACAGGGGGTGGGGATGGGAAGGGAGGGGCACAGGACAAGTGCACAAGAAATGAAGCTTCTAGGCAGTGCCATCATCAGTCTAATAATCCAACATGCAGAAGCTACAGTGGTCCTCAACCAGACAGGAGCCTCTGTCATAAATACGGGCCAAGGCAGGTGGTGTGTAGAGGCTCAGCTCTGCCCCTTTGCAGTCGTGACACTGGAGGCCTCGTGCATAAGGAGGGGGGTGACAGACACAGACTCCTTAGGGGGAGGTGGTGGGGGATCAGAGTCTTAATAGAAGAGCCAGAGGCCCAGAGGAAGGATAACATATACAACTACTCTCATTGTGCAGTTTTTAAATTTATTTTTATTATTATGTTGACTTTCTTGTAGATTGTAGATAAACAGTGTCGTAACGCTATTTATGACTCAGCAGGACCAGTGTCTCTGACTATAACGGACAGTATAATTATTTACTGGTAAAAACAAAGCTGTGATAGGGAATTGCTATCTTCATTTCACTTCTTCCCTTTCTTTCTCTGGTGCTTTGGTATATGGACTGCCTGTTTTAAAATCTGTGCCACCTTCACACAGAAATTGGGGTCCAATGGGCCCCCAGGAGAGGCAGGAGCTGGGAAGGCTGGGGCTGCAGTGCTGGGAAGGACCTCACTGAGCTTCGCAAGTATGGAGGACCTATTTTCATGTCTAGACTAGAAGTAATAAAAGACTAGGGTTGATTTTTCAGAGCAATAGTCACAGCTTTCTGAATGCATATGATGGGAAATTGTTCAGGTCTGTGGCCAAGTCTGAACCCTGAGGCCTAGATGACACAGCTGCTGCAAAAGAGGAACCCTGCTGGTCTTGAGGGGCCTGAGAGTGGGGTCACGTCCTCTGATGCTCCGATTTGGGGGTGGGGGTGGGGGTGTGGATGGCCGAGAGCCTTCTGTCCCTCCTAAGATGCAGTTCCCAAGTCTTGGGGGTTCTGTGTTTGTTTCTTTCTTGTGATCCCCTCCTGCCCTGGTATTCCAGAATGAGTCTGGGTGACACCTATCTCTCCAGGAGCTGCATCCAGGACTCAGACTGGCCTTCAGGGGACTCACAACAACCCATTCATTGTTCTACCCTCCCTTCTTCCTGTGCCAGCTGGAGCCACAGACTCCAGTTGCTCCCAGGGCCCCTCAGTGTCCCTACACAACACACTGCGTGGCACATTGAGCAAGGCATTTTATCAGGAGCTTTGGTTCTAAAAGTAGAGTTCATTTTGTGGCATTGGAACACTGCTGTCCATTCTCTTACCACCATTTTTGGGCAAAAAAGGATCAAATTGACAGTTGTTGGACCTCAGTTCAGAATGTGTGCAGCTCCTCTGACCACTGCCCTCCTGGCTTTTTTCTCATTGAGGGAGTGCCAGGCTTCTGTCAGACAAGGCTGACACCAATACCCTTCTACCCCACAACATGGATTGGGGCCCCCAGAACTCACTGCTGTAGGGCCTTGAACTGTGTGCAGGGTGTAAAGGATTCTTAGTATTCCTGATGTCTTGACAAAAGGAGAAGAGGGAGGACAGGGGTGGATTGAGGGCTGTCCCATTCACACCAATGGACCAGAAGTTACAGAGGCTTGGAGCCCTGCAGGGAGGAGGGTGGCTGCTCTATGGCCTCAGACTTAGGCTTTTGGTTTTCCTTTTTCTCCCAAGAGTCACTCCATCCTCAGATTCTAAGTGAATAAGAGGGCGGCTCTGGACTTGAACCCAGCTCTGTCATGGGCTCCCAGGCATAGATGTCAGAGCAGGCTCTAGCTGGGCACCAAGTGTGACTCCTGTTGGCTCTCTCTTGGGGAATGGGTGATGACAGAGTCTTGTGTGCTGAGGGTGATGAGAAGCTGGCTCACCTGGCTGTTGCTGTCCTTCAGTACCCTCCCTTCCATCAGCATCAGTTATACCTTGGATTGGTTACTATGGTGATGCATTTTCAACCTGATAAAAAGTCACTGTTTAGCTGAGTTGTGAAAACCCTGGCCCTGGCCTCTGAGGCTTCCAGAGCCTTTGGGACCAGATTCTTGTGACTGGGCAGTATGCTGGTGGCCACCACATCCCCCTCTC